AAGCTCTACAGAGGTGAGATTACTCTGGATGATATGATTTGCAAACCTTTCCTGCATGCTTTTTTTTTTTTTTTTTTTTTTTCCCTCATTTTTCTAAAGTTTTTTCATGTGACCCTTCCATGTTGGACCCTTAAAATTTTGAAAGTATTTGATGTCAATGTTTTAATCAGAATGAGAGTTTCAACAGCGGCTGTGTAAAAGAAGCTTTTAGTGGGAAGTTGGAAATCCACAGAAAATCCCAGTTTTTTAAAGGCTTTTTTCTTTAAAGAAAAGGCTTTCATTCTAAATGTCAAGTGTACACAGAGAGTCACTGAATGAGGTCAATGAGCCTCTTGCCATTGTTGATGTATCATTTTCACTATATCAGTTTCTTTCAAAAAGCCCTGCAGAAACACTAAAGAAGTCAATTATAGTTGCTACACCGGTTTTCCATTGATTAGATACTAACACTGAGCTCATATTACATTTACAGAAACCCCACATTTCCTCATAGTTGTTTCTTTATCTGTAATGGGTCAAAACTATTGTTAACCTTGGATGAACTTAGATTTGCACCTCAGATTTTCTAGTTTATGCTATCAACTTAGGTCTGCAATTTTAGTTTCTTGTAATCATTGATCATCTGCTACTCACGGTTTCAATTTTTTTCCTGTTAGAAATGAGTTTGCACTTTTCTGATGAGCGTGACGAAAAGCTTTAAATCAAATATTTGCCAAGTTCAAATTTCTTCAATCCAAACAAAGCTGGTGTGACTTAATGACAGTATATAGTACAGGGACTATCTTTACTAAATCTTCAAGCTGCCTTAGAGAGGTTTGAAAATCCCTGTGACTTTTAACTTTGTAGGAGTATTGACATACAAGTGTTGTGTGGCACTAACTGCACTTCCTGAATGACCACATTCCACTTCACCAGACTGGCTGAGTCAACAGCGAATTGTAACAGAGCTGTCCCTCCCTCCTCTGTTTCGTTATTGTTAGCTTCAAGTTCTTTTTCACACTGAAGACCAGGAGGATGAGAACTAAATGGGAACATTGATTTGTTGTTGAAGATTTTGTATCTGCTATTTCAGTTCTTGACAGGTAGGATCACCTTGCAAAAGTGTTGGGAGGGGACAATGTGTTCAGGGTGCATTGTTTCTAGTAAGGACAAAAGTGAGCAAATATCCCTGCTAGCATTTAACGTATGCTCCAAAAGTAAATAATGTTATTGAAAATCTGTTGAAAGGTACAAGTTTTTTTTTAATTAACAAAATGTTTTTGTCCAAACATGGTGTTAAAGTGTAACCTTACCCTGTAAGAGTGTTTCACTAACAGATAACAAGTAACAGGTGTGACAGGTGGATTTGGCTGAGACCTCATCTTGTCAGGCTGGAGAAGGATAAAATCTCCTTAGAATCTTCTGGAAAGACAAATGATCTTCAATGTAGATCCACTGTCGCTTATACTCATAGACACATTCCTTGTGAACAAAATAAAGCCTTGTAAGATGTGAAAATCAGGGCAGTTTAATAAATTATAGATGTGCGTGGCATGTTTAAAAGCAGCAGTTACTAACTGGTTCATCTGGATTTAATTACTAGTCCTGCTAGTTGGGTTTATATTCTTGTAGTTCTAGTTCATACAGTTCCTTCAAGAAAGAGAGTCCCTCAAACCAAACTGTTTCAGATCAAAATAAATACTCTGCACTCCCTCATGCAACAAGGCAGGCTTGACCAGAGGCTATCTGCACTTCTTGCCTCGTTTGTTCACTTTAAAAAAAATCCTCACTGTAGTCTTCATCCAGCACACTGTTTGGTTCAGTAGAAACGGTTTAGGCTGACTGGGCCTTCTAATCAAACGCATTCTTCTGTTTTGCCCAAAAAAAAAAAATTCTGATGAGCTGCAGCTTACTGAAAGCAAGTGAAAAATATTTTATGTTTTTGAGAAAATGTTTTAATCATGTTCATTCAATATTGATCTGAACACCCCCAGAGACTGAAAATGTGAGCTTTAAGCTTCTTTTAAGTCTTATATCTATCTCTGCTTATCCAGTATGTGGTGTACTCTCCACCCACAAAGACCAAGAGCTGGTTGATTAAAGCCCACAGCATAAAACGTAGTAGGACAGAGTTAAATCAAGGTAGCAGAACAACATGACAGTGGTTACATCTTCCTGTTAGTTGGATTAAAAGACTTGCGCCACCCGTCACCTGTAGTTGCTTTTATATTCTCATTATCAGTCAGTATTGGGATCATAAATGGAATAAACGTATCTGGTAATCTCACCCTAATAGCTTCCACAACATAAAATTAAAAGTGGTATGATTGTAACAAAACTATGAAGCACTCTGACATCATCCCTCCTGTTGGACATCACTATTGAAACCAGCATTTTCCGTTTTTCCACAGATCCTGAAAGAAACAAGCCAGGACACCCAGATTCCAGGTATGTGGCTGGCTCTGAGCTAAGGTGTTGTGAGTACCTGCTGTGGTAGATTTCACCCAACTGTCTCTGTGGCTGGAAGCAGTGCCTCTTTGATAGTGAGATCTGCTGATGGTGAGGTTGTGAATGGACCAAACAATGAAGTGATCTATGCTCGCTCGGAGAGGGAAGGTCAACACAGAGACAGATACATCACGTTGTCCATTCAGTTGGTGTCTATGGACACTGGTGACCTGTCCAGCCCTCAGACATGTTTGGTAATAATTTAAAGCGCTGTTTTCTTGCTGGTAACTGTCAGCCTTTAGGTCCCTGTTTTTAATCTTGGCCTGTTAAAAACAAAGTCAGCCATGTGAAACAATAGGGACAATCGTTGGCCTTTTCCCCAGATAGTTTAGATCCACCTCCCATCTAGTCTTAATGAGCGAGTGTTAATGATGAACTCGCATCTATCAGGAGAATTTCCCCTCTTTCGGCTTAAGAGGCTGTAAAAGTTAAATGAACTCACTCAGTCAACATGGACATTTTAAATACTGTAGGGGTAGAGATAAAGAAGTTAAAACAGCCTGAGGATTTGCAGCCGTGTCCGCATGCTAAAATGTGAAGATGTGCAGACAAGTACAGTGTTGCCATTTACTGGGCATCAGGTTTTGTGAGGTATGTTCGTTTGAACAACATTCCTTTTGTTTATTTTTTCATAAAAACTTTGTGTAATGTTCCTACTAGAAATTATTTTTAAACTTGTCCTTTGCTTGCATGGGATTTTTTCTTCTCACTCAATTTTTTCGTAAACAGTGATGAATTATTAGTGCTTTTGGGAATTAAGCTGCATTATTTGGTTTAACCGTGTATAAATGATTTACTCTGATGAATTCAGCTGAAGTTATTCTGTTGAGTTGATGCATTTCCTCTCTTTGACTTCTACTCTGTCTCTATCAGTATAACATTAGATTGATTAGCTGTTTCAGTAACTTTTGTCGTAAATGTGCTTAAGTAGCTAGCCATGTGGCCAGATTGTATTTCATATTAATGTCAGAAATTAAACTAGAGATTAAATCTTTCTTTTTAATTTAAGTGTCCATTTCCCCTTTCCCATCTGTAAACCACAAATTAATTATAAATGGGCTTCATGATCTGCTCTCTTTTCAGTCAAGGGCCTCTGTCTTCTATACGAGCCGCAATCAGACGAAGTGAGTTTGTTTCAACTTAGAAATATCGTTTTACAGTTGTATAAAATTAAAGCAATTGAGTGATGCCACTTGAATCTTATAAATTCTTCAAGGATTGATGTCTTAATAATTTGGTTTAGGTGAATTCTTGATGTTAATTTAAATGCAAAACAGGCTTTTTAAGATACTTTTTTCCCCCTTCAGCAAGAACAAGCTCTCAAAGTGACAACAACAGAGAGAGGAGGTAAATACAATAAGTCTTCTAACATTTCCACGGTGTTGTATGGTCATTATGGAGGTCTGAATTAGATGTGTGATCAATTAGAAATATGATATCTGACCAGCCATGTCAGAAGATTTAAAATGATAAGAGACTCGTGTTTCTGTTGGACTTCAAGTGTATGTTTTCATGCATGGTTTTCTGTCATTTCTTCATGGTACTTTTCTTTTCATTATTAAGGCGACCAGAGATCACTATTATCTCAGCTGAACCTCTGGTTAGCAGCAACTGGTTTTCAGGACACTCTGTGGTTTTTCATCCTTCTCAGCCACACTGGACGGCAGACATCCAAACTGCCCCCCAGGTACGATTCATCTGATCTGCAAAGCAAGTCAAAAATGCATCATAATCTTGACTTTATTAAATGGGTTACTTTGAAGATAATTAACTTTTAGGTCAAATTCAGTATAATTGTATTTCAATCTAAGATTGCTCAGTGTAAATAGTGGTTATTAATACTCTTTCCAGTTGTAGTCTAGCTATTGTAATATTTAAAAAAAAAAAATTTAAAAAAAAAAAACAAAAATTTTCAGTTGTGTAAATGTAAAAATTATATCCAAAGAGCACGACACTAGTCCATTATTAAAAGATTGTTTACGATATATCTCCATACTTGATATATTACCTGCTACATCACAGTCATCGGACATAAGTTTAAATATTGTGGTATCATATGTGTGTGTGAACACCTCTTTCTTTTATGAGTCAGCGCCCACCATCCTATGACCAGGTGATCAAAGAGAAGAACCAAGAGGTCCAAACTGTTAAGCCCACTGCAGCCCCCCGCCGGATCTCCTGCACCGCCACAAGTGCCACTCAGACTGACCCTTTTGGGGAAGACTCCAAATCACACAACAGTCCAAGTCCAGCTACAAGAAAACCTGGTGGTGAGGGATCTTTTGCTAAAAAACTTCGGACTTCCATGGCCGATTTTGCCTCTAGATATTATGATTCTCTTTATCCACAGGTAAAAATCCACAAAAACCACCAAGACCCTCACTTCCAAAAGAAAAGGACAGAAAACCTGCAACTGTAAAAGGCGAGGAGGCCACAACTAAGACATTAGGATTAACAAACATCGAGCACCAAATCGAATCTAAATCTGTCGCAGAGCAAAAAGAAGAGTCCTCACACACCTGCACCAGATCTGTCACCGTGCACTGGGATATTTCCACAGATTATTCCTCTGTGACTGCTGGGCCCGTTGAAAATACATTTTCAAATTCAGTGAACAGCCAACGACCAATCCCACGTCCTCGTACCAAAACGCACAAGCAGGAAAAAGAAAAGGCCAAAGTTCAAACTTTGGTAAAACTCAGTGACGGCTCTGAGAATACCGACTCATATTTTCAAGATAATTCGACAAATAAGTACTTACAGGATTTATTAGAGGTCTTTGGTGGAGATAAGTGTCAGGAGAAAAGTGAAACAACATACCAATCAGAGGAGGGTTCCCGAGGTGAAGATGCTGTCAGCGAGATGAATACTAATCACAGTCAAAGGAATATCCAAGCCAGGATCCAGGCTTTTGAGAGCCAGGCTTCCAGCAAAGAGGAAGATGTATTGGAATCTGCCAAACCCGAACCTGTACCCAGGAAAACCACTCCCAAACCCCCAGTTGCTGCTAAACCTTCTGTAGCTCTTAAACCCAAAAGTTTTGATGACAACAATCAAAACATGCCAACCACCCAAAACCCAACCCCGGCACCCAGACCTCAGCCCCCCAAAAAGCCCGTGGGTCACTCAGTAAGGGAGGAGCTGGAGACTTTACACAGCAAGGGGGTCCTCCAACCCCGATCCCGGCCTTCTGTGTTGACCAGAGGCATCACCATTAATGAAGAGGAACAGTCCCAAATTCCACCTACAGCTCCAGTAAAGCCTTCCAAAGAACCCCTCAAACCCAACTTAAACATAAACAACCATAACTCAGCCTCCATGTTCAGAAATAACGAGGATCCTCTACCAGGTAGGTTCTGCATGATTGTTGGACAGTAACAGCAGTCTCGAGAAAAATATTATCCTGTTGAAAAGCTTTTAAATTTTTACGATTATTCATGGATCAGTTAATTGTCATGAGTTGTTTTACTATAATCAACTCTTTTAGTAATTTATTTGTCAAGTAAAACATTTTAAAGTAGTTAAAGATTGAGAATGTTTTCATTTTTAAAGTTTAAATTTACTTTTGGGTTGCATTTGCTTTAGTTTTTTTTAAAACGTTGAATTTATGTTGATGGTATAAATATGAATATTCATATCAATGTGCCGTATTCACTTTGCTCCCTTTGTTTAGAAAACACTGCCATCAAACCCCAGCATGTTGTGGACAGCAGTGAAATCTCCTTCACCAGACAAAGTGTCACAAGAAGACCAACAACCATCAGGGTACCAAGCAAAACGGGTTCAAGTAAGATCAGTAATCGCTGCGTAACCTGTTGCTGTTATTTTAGAAAGACGTGCTGACATTTTATCTGATCACGCAATCATACATAGAACATGTGCACAGTACACTGCCTCACTTTCACTCCCAACTTTTCCTCCTGGCAGATCTTTTTCAGGACAGTCCGCCTCCTCTGCCAGTTCAGAAGCCTGTTGGCACTTTAAACTCTTCAGTGAACTTCAAACAAAGCTCGATACCTACAGTCCCCTTCCAGGTAAGATGTGCTGCCACAAACCTCAGATCACAGATGCTCACAAATACATTTTTCAGATAAAAAAAAGACAGGATTAAAATCAGACCAATGAAACTAACTTAAACAACAGAATTAACTAATAAGAAATCAATAGACGAGGTGGTGCTGCTTTTGAAATGACTTGTTGGTACATTCTCCATCAGATTAATCTTTCAGTTTTACTGAGCTACTCACCTGCTTTACACAAACAAAGAAACCGTTGTAGCCACATGAACCCATTGCCAGGGAATGCTGTGTGTTGTCACTTGGTTTCTATGGTTTCAGTGCTCTACTGTTGCCATGTCTCTTCTTTTTTTTTTTTTACTGGTAATAAAAATGCACAATGGGATTCTTTTGCAGAGCTCGTTCAGTACTGGGACGGAGCCACCACTACCACCCCGGTGAGACAGTAACAGAAATTCAGATTTGAGTTTGGTGGTTGATCTTGGAAAGGTAGAATTTCTCTCAAATGGTTTGCATTTCAGAAAGCCCACTGCGAACAAAACCCTTCCTCCTCGCCCTCCTCCTGCCAAAACGGCTCCTGGAAGACCTCCCCCACCAAACCCTCAGTCCACATTTACCCCTCAGTCTGCATCACGGCAGCCCTCGTCCAAACCCAAAGCTCAGAAGCCCCAAAGGAAATCGCTCGTGTTGCCTCCAAGGCCCAGCCCGGGCCACCGTCTCTACAACAAATACACAGTGAGAATGATCCTACCACACACCTGAGTGCCCAAACTACTGCATGTTTTTAACAAAACGTCACACGCAACCGTTTAAATCTGCACTCTTTCACCAGCTTCAACTCCCTCATGCGATTGCAGCCACTGACTACAATGGGAGCAACACAGGAGAGTTGTCATTTCAGGTGTGGAAGGTGTTGCACTGTCACTGCACGATAAACGAACGGCACAAAGTAACAACTAACAGTACTACTGAAGCCCCACTCTAAGAGTTCAAACTAATGTTTTCATCGGTGTTTGTTATAGAAAAATGAAGTGCTTCTGCTTCTGGAAAAGATCAACCACAATGAATTTGAGTGTCAAGTTGGAGAAGTCGTAGGCAAAGTCCATAAGTCTCGCATGCAGATAATAACTCCTCTTGACTCACACTTACCTCCACCACAGGTAGAGAGTAGTTTGTTTGGGGGTTTTTTAGACAATCTGGAGCTCATGAGGTCCGGCAGCTGTGATAAAATCAACCTCTGCTCTCTCCAGGAAGAAGCTGCTCCGGCTTCAGGAAGAACTGGTAATGCAGTGACGGTGCAGGCACTGTACGACTTCACCCAAGGTAATGCATCTGTTTGGCCAAGCACAGCATTGTGTGTGGAAGCCATATTTAAAGATGGTGTCTGAATTTAAGAAATTCAGACCAACATCTCTGAGATCAGCAGGCTCTATGTGTTTTTCTTTCTGCAGAAAATTCATTTTATGAAATTTTAAAAATGTTGGTACATGTTGTATCAATTCTAAAAACCACAATCTGAACAAGAGGCATTCAAACTTGTATTTATGTGTTACCTGAAAAGCTATGTGTGCACAAAGGTTTTACCAGATGATTGACTTTTCATATCAATCTGGATAAGTAATCTTACTTTTTTTCCACATTTGAGGAGGTTTAGAAGTCTCACAAGACCCTTTCTCTCTTTCTTCATTGATAAATGCTTATTCCTCTCACAGAGGGTCCAGGAGAGCTGGGTCTCAGAGCAGGAGATGTCGTAACAGAAGTGGAGCAGGTGGACAGTCAGTGGTACAGAGGCACCTATAGAGGGGCCACTGGGTACTTTCCCGTCAACTTTGTCAACGTTTTGGTAAGTTTCAATGAACCAGTTGTGTCTTTACTAAAAATAAACATTGGCCTATATGTGTATGATAAAAATGATTGAAAAATTTCCTTACAATCTAGTCAAATTCACCAAAACCCATCCCGGAAAGAAAAGCAAAAGCAAAATCCGCACCAGTCAGGTACTGTTCTTTACAAGCATTCAGGTCTTTTATTTCCTGCCTTTACAAGCTCACCCGATTAAGTAACTGGCTGTTCTGAATCTGTTTAAGTGGTCCGAGGTGTGTGGCAAGATTTGACTTTGAGGGGGAGCACAGTGATGAGCTGTCCTTCCTTGAGGGAGACGTGATTCAGCTGAAGGAGTATGTGGGGGAGGACTGGGCGCGTGGACAGGTCGGCGTCGCCATGGGCATCTTCCCCATTAACTTTGTGGAGATCATTGAAGATCTTCCACCCCCAAGTCAGCAGCAGTCCGACAGGATAGCGCTGCCAGGTGAGACCACCTCTATCACAACTTACTTGTTTGTTCTTTTATCTTTCTAACATTCAAGATGAGTTTTTATCAGTGAAGAGCCTTTTTTGTTTTCAGTATCCTTTGTAGCATGTCAGGAATTTGTCCTTCTGCTTTTGTTTCATTAATGGCTTGTTTACACGTTCACTCACAGGGAGGATTTAATTAATGCGGGCTGCAGATCACCGCCATTTCATCCATCTAACCCTCACTTCCTACTTTGTCTAGGTTTTTTTTAAAAGTTTTAGGTTAGTTTTAGGTTTTTTTTTAAATACACCATTAGTTTATTTGATTTTCCCTCAATGAGTATCAGGATAGCAGGCGCTTCTCAGAAGTGTCAGAATTAAATCCAGGGAAAATACTGAAATCTGTAACCATACTTAAACCAGAATTATAGAGTTGTTTTATTACTTTATTCCTCTGTTTAATGCTCTTTTCCACAGGTTTGGCTGATTCTGCTCCTAGCAAGCAACCCGTTGCTGCCACACCTGCCCAGGTAACCAATATTTATATAAATCGAAACCCCAACAGACGCTATGCTGGTTTTGTAGGTGACTCAGTATGTAAAGTCTGGTACAATGACAACTTTTCCTAGTTTTTCTTCTCCTCTGTAACTCCTCCTTCCTTTGAAGGTGCCTGAGTCCAAGATGGAGTGGGTGGTGGCGCTGTATGATTACACTGCAAAGGCAGCCGATGACCTCTCCTTTCAAGAGGGTGACTGTATCCTGATCACAAAGCACATCAGTGAGGAGTGGAGCTGTGGCATGCACAGTGGCAGAGAGGGCATGTTCCCAATGGCCTTTGTTAAATCCACAACAGGTATATAAAATTCACATAGTGGTCTGAATAGTTTGATATGAAACTTTTCTGCAGGCATTTTTCCTCTTGAATTTTAAATATTCCAAACAAGTTACCGTTTCACCAAACACCTACTATAACTCTACTGAATGTATTTTCAGGACCGCAGTCATCAAAAAACAAACCGAATGGAGAAGCAGGTGGCAGAAGAGCCAGGGCTCTGTTTGACTTCACATCACACTGTGAGGAGGAGCTCTCATTCCAGGTACAAACACGTCGGAAGTTTCAGAAGTTGGCACATTTTAAATCTTAGCTGAAATAAATCCAATTACCTACTATGCTTTTCTTTTATAGGTTGGGGATGTTATAACCAATCTTGAGTCCATGGATGAAGAATGGTTTTTAGGGGATTTAAGGGGAACGCGAGCCCTGGTCCCTAAAAACTATGTTCAAGTACTGTGACATGGCTGTACTGTCTGCAGTGGAGGACACGGCTGGAAACCTGGACTGGAGTCTCTCTTTAGCAGCTTTTAAATCGACTTTAGTATTTAACTTCAAAGTGTTCCAACCCCTTTTCTAAAAGATTGTTTTTACCGTTTACTGAGTAACTTGTTGAAAATTATGAATAAAGATGGATGAGTTTGTTCATTTTTCAACTGCTCATTTGCACCACCTGCTGGTCATCTCTACACCAGGATTCTCACATCTATGCTTGGTATTGCCATTTGTGAGCATGCTGTATAGCTTAGTTCATCTACCATCTCACTCAAAGTTCAACCGTGGAGACAGGAAAAAAGGAAAGAAAAAGTCTGTAATTTACATTTTTTATTCAAAGTGTTGGGGTGATTTTAGACAGTTTCCTGGATGGGAGGCTCATAGCCGTCGGCCCTCTCCACCTTGGCTCCAGTGTCATCCCCAGATGCCTTAGCAGCGCCACCAGCACCACCTTCCCCATGGAGCTCCATCAGTTTGCCCACTGCAACAAAACATAGATGGCTTTAACCACAAATCCCCTCCATGTTCTCATTTGAAATAGAACTTATTACCGAGGTCAAACATCCATTCATGTAACATTCAGTTACAGAAGGGGGACATCAGTTGATCTCATTATACGGTAATCAGGCAATCATATGGGACCGCAACGGTCATCATTTGTTCCCCCTTAAGGTAGAAATGTGACACTTTCATCCAACTAAACAGCTGGGAATGACTTACATTCAAACTTCGGCTTCTTTAGCATCTTGACCTTACGGACGTAGACGTCATGTAGAGGGTAGATGGACTGACATGCCTTCTCGATGTCCTTCCCCACGCTGTCAGGGATCCTGGAACACAAAACACACAAAAGAGTCATGTCAAGTACCAACTGGCTTTCCAACGAGAAAAAGAAAAACTATTGAGTGAAAAACCTACAGCTTGTTGACTACTTCTTTCAGGTCGTTTGTCTGAACCTCGCGGGTCATGATCTCCATCATCTTCTTGCGGATCTGGCGGACCTGCTGATGCTGGGCGTATGAGGTCTTTCTGATCTGGTTGGTGCGTTTCTTGGTGAAACCGACGCAGAAAAGACGCAGAAGGTATCCATCGGTAGTCTTCACGTCCACGTGGGCTTCAATCATGGTCTGAGTGAAAGGATGAGGTCAATGCTGATTAGCCATCTCTTCCCCTTCTACTATAAGGGTATTATAAATATATACAAATTTGACCAGCACAACAATTCCACTTCACACAACTGCTTTGCCATGTCAAATGCAAATATACTTTAAAAAGTTAAATTATGTACATTTCAGATTGAGAAGAAGATACCTAAAAACCTCCAGTTTTGGCTGCACTAAGACAACCTAGGGAACAATGAAAAACCCAAAGGTTTGACTAGCTAATGACCCTAGTGCTGTTCTGTGGTACGTCAAACTTTCAAAACACCATGGTATCCAGTTAGTAAAAAATATTACACCTATACTTATTTTGATCAAATTAAAAAACATTTGAATTCACAGTAGCGTAACATACTGAATAATCTCTGGACTGCTCAGTTTGAACCAAAAATAAAGTCAGGGCCATAGCAGAACAGCAAAAATCAGCAACTTAAATTCTGCCCCTTTAGTGAATATGATATTCAATTTTAACCTTTTCTTCAAGGAGCAAACCATGTGATACATACTCCAGTTTTGTAGTGCCAAATCACTTATATGCAGACCAGATAGTCCTTCACAAATTCTATTGTTTGAACCAAGATCTTTAAAAACAATCAAAGAACCATTTCTCACATTTACAAAGACATTCCAACCTCAAGCCACCGTTTATCTCTCAAATAAAAAGATTTTAAAAAGATCTCAGCCGCATTAAGAACATAATCGACGAAGCCTTTGTGTGAAGCCTTTAATGCTCATCTTCCTGCATCTGGTTCTTTCTTTCACGTGGGATCAAGCTTTTACAGGTCAGCATGTTAAGAGGTAGACATTACCTGCCACTTCTTGACCATAGAGCACATCTTATCACGGGTCAGGTCCATGCCGTGGAAGTTGGTGAGGCAGTTCTTGCCTTGAACATCCTCAGTGATCAGCTTGAACTTACGGAAGGCCACCTCATCGTTCTGCAGATCAGCAAGGCTCACCTCGAACACACGTCCCTTAAGACCATCAGAGGCAATTCCTGGGTGATAAGGGGGTACAAGTTAAAACCCAACTAAGACTGCCAAATAAGTATGACCAAATTTAGCAGGCATCACTTGGGGCATTGTTGTAAGGGTTAATAACTTCACTTTTATTTTAATATCTCCATAATATTTTTCATAGTTGCAGTTGTATTATAAAATCAATTACACTTTTATCTTAAAGTAAATCCATACAAGTCAAAGCAGATAAACCTGAATGTTGAGTCTGTACAGCATGCAGACTTACTGGTTCCCTGAGTCCTGGTGACCAAGGTCTTGCCAATGTTGCGGATGTTGAACATGGCTGGTGCCTTAACATCATACCAGTCTTTCTTGGAGAAAGGGTCCACACTGCAGGAAAAACATTCATTAGGAGGAAGCCAGACACAGTTGTGAGGTAGCAGAACGAGATCTCCATGTTGAACACTTACTTTAATTCAAAACGTAACTATTCATGAGTAAGACTTATAACTTGAGTTACTACCATGCAGTAACACTGTCAACAACGTGATACTGCTAAATCTGCTAGACGGGCTCAACCGATAAAGCCGTGCTAACCTTTGTAGCCTTTAGCATAGTTACTTACGACCATACAAGCACGATCAATTGTATGAACTTTCTTAGAACCATTGACATGCGTAACAGATATTTATATCCGACATTTATATTAATATAAGGCTGTGACATTAAATGCAATCACACAGCGTGTCATTAACTCTATCCGGCGCTACAGAGGCCGGCGGAGATGGTACGAGCACCGACCCTCTAACATCTGCTTAATATCGGCTTCATCCGCTGTCCAATTTTAACAAAAAGAGCAATAATGATAAACTCAAGCTTTGTTTTACACGTGGGTATCGGAATTGGCTACTTACATCTTCTTTTTGGCACCTTTTTTGCCGCCTTTGGTCAGTCTCTTATTCTTGCCGACTGCCATGTTGGCTACAGGGAGTGAAAGAGGAGGAAACACGGAATCTCGCGATACTAAAAGAGACCCACAGAGGTCGTGAGATTTGATTTATCTCGCGGGACCTTCCAAATGTGTTTTTAGCGCTCTCTGCTGGTGAAAGGCTAAGTCACAATGAACGTGACCTCTTCATATTCACATGCAGTCAAAGTTGTAACATTTAATCGTCAAAAAAAGTAAACACTTGTGGAAATCAGTGCTGCCAACAAGGTAAATAACGGTATAGATATAAAATCTCCTCAATCTTTTGTACAATTTATTGATTTAAGAAAAAAGAGGGCAAGGCGTTGGATTCCTGTTGACATATTCAACAATGCTGATATTGTAAGGCTTTCCCAGTCATTTGAACAAGAGCTAAAAAATCCACAAAAGTTTTTTTTTTATTAGAAAATGTATCAATACCAAGATTCATAGTAATAATGTCCAGACAAAGCTGATTGATTTGGTTCCTTACTTGTTGAAATCAGTCGAAGTATGTTGGAATACAAAAACATACAGGAAATAGTAGAATAGGAAAATAATAGTGAGAATTCCTGTAAGCATACTCACTATTAGACACTTTTACAAGATTTATAATAACACATCTAATGTGCACTAACATGCACAGTATATGTCTGTTTGTTTTAACTAAACTTTCCTGATCTCTGAACAGGAAAAACTAGTCTTTTTCTGTTAACAAGTCATACAGGGGCGTAGCCTGTCTCCACCCAATCTGTTATTTGAAACATTACATTTCCAGTTATTTTTGTGAATAAGTGTAACTTTGGATTTTAAATATTCTACAGGACTATACTGTAAAACTTCAGGTTAATTGTCAAAAGTAAATCCAAGGTAAGATCACAAACATTTACACTAATGTGTAGAGCTGTCAAGATGTTTAGTTTTGTTACCTTTTCACATAGAACTGTTGAACAAATATTAAAAACAATAATACAAACATATTTGAATTAAGCAGTATTTGATTTATGTTTGAACCAAATGTTTTATTTTGTGAGCATCTTTGCATTCTCCAAGGTATATTGGATTAATAGGACCTAATAAGTTAAATAAACACTTTGTCGTGGCACAGGTAGTTTATTTCTCACATTTGGACGGTAGGTTTATCTTTGTATTCAAAATGTGTTTTTATTTATCTAAATGTTTATCTAAATGTGATAATCTAGTTTTAAGGTCCGAATGACTTAATTGGTTGAAAATATTTATCTGCTTTGACGCCAATATATCAAAGTTGAAAACAAAGATGTATTATGGTACGGAGAGGAAAAAAGTGTAATTTCCTCATATAGGTCTTATGAGGTTAAAACTCATGCCAAATTGTCTTGCTTGACACATTGTTTCGAAAATGGATAAAGAAAATACTCTAAACCACCCATTGATCTTTGATACAACTGCTATTGCCCCAAAAATCGAACCTTTAATCAAACTTAAACTATGTTGCGAATTTTTGAAAACCTCAAATATAAGATCAAAATGCTAAGTAGTGTGTAACAATGCAACTAATTTTATTTGATATATCTTATGGTTCTTATGATTAATTAATTTGCATTTGTAGGTATGTTTTCTTTTATTGAATCTACTTTACTTACTTTTTTATTGCATATGTAGGAGGATTGCATTTATTTTTTACATGATAAGCTCAATGTACTTTTGTTTGACTTATTAATACATGAAGTCCCCAAAGTGTTATGGTGGTTAGCACATTGAAGATTACCTGTTTGATTCTCTGCCAGGTTCTTTCTTGGTTGAATTTTTGTGTGCTCACCAAGCACTTTGGCTTTAGCTTCTCTGTTTCCAGAACAACAAAAAATAAATGGACTTCATAGGAATAGGAGAAAGCATGTATGGTTGTATGTTTCTGTGTTTGCGCTATGATGACTTGCCCAGGGTTTTCTTTCCACCTTGCCCTATGGCAGAATGAAACGTGCATGGAAAATTAATGAATGATTGAATATAATTACCCTATTCTGGAAGCATTGAAAGGTCATCTTTCAAGCTTATATTTGACACTGAGCACTGAACAAAACCCCCTTTGGATAAAATATTAATACACAAATAATCTTTTGGGAATAAATCTTTTATTGGGTAATTTTCAAACGCAATTGGCTGGAAGTTAGATAAAAATGAACAATTACAGTACAAATGGATATCATAGTTAAGTACTTGTATCACACATTTATAGATGGGAGCAAGAAAACTGAGTGCATCATTTTTTTCATTGAAAGTTCAGTAAAAGTTCTTTTAGATCCCAGATTTTAAAGTTTCAAGATCTTTAAATCCCCAAATCTACCATTTTGTACAGCATGCATATCATTCAGGTCATTAAACTGGAAACAAGGGCTGTGCCTCATGGGGGGGTGCTGCTGGCTTCCATGACTCCCAGAATCCCTGATGGCGCAAATACACTTCACTGGGAGGTCAGAGTGACGCCAGCTGCCTCTGTGGTGACACTCGTAGCTGCTCTTAGACACTGCAGGGGAAATATGAAGTCACCACGATGAGCAGCAGACGAAGACAGATTTAGAGCATCTAATATCACAGTATAGAATTAGTTTTATTAGGATTTTCCTCATGCAATTATAGGCGTAGATGAAAATGGACCCTCTCATCTTTGCAGCTCCGAAAACATCTCACGCGTCATGGCTTATGATGATGGAGGTGATATGAAAAGGCAAGCAAAGCAGAGCTGTCACTTTGCATTAATGTTTGGCTTCCATTGCCTAAGGATGTGGACATCTGTCTATGTGCTAAGCCACACAGAAAACAAAGTTCAAAAAGCATTTTCTGTATTTGCTTTTATTCTGTAAAAAAATGTATCCTGTTTTGTGTTTGCTGAATGTGTTTTCAGTTTCTTTACCACTGCAACAAGTTAAACTGTCATGACGAAATTATTTCTAACGTTGATCACTTAATATAAAGCACCTAATTGTCCCTTTGATCTAGCTTTCATTGAGAGATCAATGTTTTTTGGTAAAATACTGTCAACAATCACACGAAAAAGAGAAAATATCAATGAAATAAATTGGTCAAGAGTATGGTGCCAGAAGTATGCCTGTCCTTTGCACAACCATGAATATCCTGTAACGTGTTAAAGATTTGAGAACACAAGCTATCAAGCACACAGGCTAAATGTTTTAAACATTTAGTGACAAATTAATTTCAGTGAACCTGCTTATGTACCTATTATGCTTATGGTGTGTGGGTGGTATAAACACAATGTTAGTTGACTGTCATTTATGTGTGGGTATATAGTATATCTGCTGTACATCAAATCGAGGGCACTTTTTCATTGTTTGTAATTTAGATTGTATGAGCTCACTACTTTAGTAAAACAAAGTCCATACATCTGCATTTTCAGGAAATCACATTAATGCATATTACTGTTCACCAAAGCTGTCACATCCCTGTCAGGACGACAGAATAAATCATACTGATATCTTCTTTTCCAAACTCTGCCCTGGTACGTTGGTGGTCTGCTACTATGTGTGTTTTGCACTGTGAAAATGAAGAGAGGCTCAGTTTCTAAAAAGCTAAACTCACGACTAGGGCCAGATTTAAAAGGGCATGCGTGGTATTAAGATGTAGCCTATCCTCATCAAGCATTAGATCATTAAGAGCAAATTGGTATAATTCCACAGCCATGAAGCCATTTACTATATAATATATATGTATTTTTCTTTTTAAATATGCGTGTTTTTCAATTTGAACATACGGTTAAGGTCACCCTGGTTGTTTTTTGTCTCGTGCCTATGCTGTTTTGCCCACATCGTGTGTGTTGAAGTGGGTCGTGAAATTACGCCGAAAATCCCTGCATTGTTTAATGTGCGAGTAGGGTCCTCCAGGGAAGCGGTTCATGCCTCTCCTTTGAGATCAGTCATAGTGGCAATTGTTCATATCGTGCGTCGGTTCATTTTTTACGGAGTCCCCGCGTGCCGTCCGTGAAAGCCACCTGAGCGGCACACCTGCCACCGAGCTGAATAGACCGTGTTCTGAACCGCGCATGCGTCATTTACTCAAGGGCTATACTGTCATGGCGGTGACGAGCTGAAGCTACCGGGGTAGAGCAGGAAGCAAATCCAGCGCAGCTGGGTCAGCGTTGTCATTTCACCAAGTCCGCTGAGTTTCATTGGGAACACCGAACGGACCACTATTATTTGTCGGCTTCCACCGGAGCTGCCGACGGACTTCTCCGAGTTTTTGGTCCTGCCCAGTGCTACCTGTCAAGTGTGTGGACTCAGTGATAATAGCAACTTCATCTGCTGTGCGGAGATATTAAAGTGACTGTATCCTTGTTTTTTTTCCGAGCAGGGGAAAAACAGGTAAAACGGGAACTCGGCTTCACATGCTTCCCTCCTTTTTTTACGAGCAGGACACTTCTTCCCGGCTTTGAACGGCATTAATTCGTCCACCTGGTATCAAGTTACGGATCGGGGCAGAGGAGTTGTTCACTGTGGGGCGAAGCGGGGACATTTCCAGCCTCGCGGTGGGTGTGTAGCGCCGGCAAAATCTGCCGGATTTTAAATTATTATTTTTTGTTATTGCCCCCCCACTCGATGCTCTCTCGCGAAACAGTTTTGAATGGGGAGAGAGACGTTTTGCTTATGTGCCTGTAGACTGTTCCCAAGTCAGCAGAAGGGGAGATAGAGCCCTCTTCCCCCTCTTCGTCGTCGGAGGTGAACAGGTGCCTTACCTGTGAACGCCACCTGTCCCGTGCTTCCTTTAGCAATGGCTAGCGCGGACACTTCGGCCGCTGCGCAGCCGGGGGACGCCAAGGACGGGCGCTCCGGCCCCATGGCGCTCAACCCCGGAGTGCCTATCAGAGGGATACGGATGAAATTCGCCGTGCTCGCCGGCCTGCTGGAAGTTGGGGAAGTTTCCAACCGAGACATTGTGGAGACCGTCTTCAACCTGGTAAGCTGCTTACGGGAGCTCAGCACAGGCCGTAGATAGCACCGTGACATCTGAATGTTTAGAAACGCCTTTCCTACACGCACTAGCAGACACAAGGCATCGATGAACCACCAGCACTAAAATATTGATGCATCTTTTTCTACGTTACAGTCATATATACCTAAATGACCTCTTCCTCGTTTCTGCTAGTGGCCTTGCTACCCTTGTATTCCAAATCACCCTTTTAGTTGGTCAACAGATGGCTTCTCTCCCACTGCAAATTCTCTGAAAAGTTTGTGTGGAAACTCATTTCCCCCACAAACTCACACATTTTACACTTCCGTGTACCTGTACATACTAGTGGTGATGATCAGAGTTAGAATGAAGAAAGTGAATACCCCTCAGTCTGATTCTGACACAGTCACCGTACCATAAAAGCTTCAATACTTTTCTTGACTTATCCAGGTCATTTATAGTGGATGCCTTATCTGTCTGTGACTTATTGGCCATCATGAAATATGCTTATCCAGCTTTCTGTGCCAGAGTCACAGCACTACCTTGCTTGAGTTATGAGGTGACTTTCACACGCCTGTTTGAGAATGAATGAAAGTACTAGTAACAAGGAAATGTAGCCCTAAAGACGGAGCATGCTCAACGGCAGCTTCCGCCGGTTAGGTGGGAGGCGAGGTGAAGGTGGAACCTGCAGAACTGCTTCGTCACAGTGGCAAAACAATGGAATCCTTTAGAGATTAGAGGGGGTAGCTCATCCTCCATGTCTTTGGTAGTTGAGTGGATTCCAGCCCACACCATGGAGACCAATTAATTATGAGCTTGTGGAGACACTTTTCTCCACGTGAGCGTGGCATGAGTAACGCAACATTATGGCTATCCATCATTCAACCATTTAGACGTCCAACCATTGACCTTCCATACAGTTCAAAAGCAGTTTAAACTAGGCTACAAATGTGTTTCACCATCACAAACTGTTATGCCCTCTTTAATGTGACTGTATTTATTCTCAGTTGTGTCCTCTTTGTTTTTTATGTTTTACATTGTTAAGCAAAGCCTGATTGGCTTTTTGGGTCCTCTTTAGCATGTGATAATGTGCTCTTTATTACAAGCTTGTTGCTGATTATTAGGCAGAGGAGAGGTCAAGTGTAAAAGCAGATGCTGTCTGATGGAATTTTTTTCTTTTTACCAAAAACATAAGCACAGATATGAATGTTGTTTATATTCGCAAATTTCTTTTGGGGGATTACACAAATGAGGGGGTACAGTATGTGTAATTGCTCATGGTATCACCATTTTAAGCAGAACATGTGTAGGTTATGTCACAGGAAAATAGTCGTCAGCTGCACCGTTTAAAGATCCAAGGGCCAATAAGATGCACTGTGCTTTCTTTCAAGCATTGAAGTCATCCTTGGACAAATACAACTTGTAGAAGCTGTTACACTGACAGTCAGTCCAATTTGACAGACTTATCTGATAGCAGCTTAGCAGGTGTTCTAAGTACTTGATTTTTAGAGCGATCGCCATCATTTGAGGGCTTTGAGAGATGACGCTGAGCATTTCATTATCATTACCACATTGCACACTTTCTCTCATTCCCTCGACAACCTGTGCTCACCCTTCCATTAGCTGATAACCTCATTTACCACAGACGCCCGACTCTTCCCTTTGGTAGGATCTCTTTGGAGCTTCGTTGCTGTCTTTGTTCTGTGCTGTATTTGGATAAACACAACATGGTTTCTGCAGGACGGTTATCTCTGTTGTCACAAGTCATCCCAGCGGTGGGTGCGATGTCTTGTGACACGTGGGTTGATGTTACGAAGACCAGGATCTGTGTTTTAGCTTCCAGTCAGGAATTTGCAGCAGAGGGAAGAAGAACGAGTCTCACTCTACTCCGTGGATCTCGCACTTCTCTCTTCTCAGCTCGCGTGTAGGTCTTCTCTAGCTGGAATAATCGTACAACAGAATGTCACTGTCGGCTAAATGTAGAATGAGGACTTCTAGTTTCAGTCCTGTTTAAATTAAGAAACCAGTTTAATTTAAACTGTTTTTTATGTTTACTCTTTTAAATTAAAATACTTTTAGTTCAACATTTTCTTTTAAACAGCTAATTTGCTTTCTTTAATAAAAAAAAAAGGAAAAAAATCATGGTTTCATAGTTTGTTTAATTTCCCCTAGCTTTAAAGAACTGAATTTCATGTTTTGCATTTGTTATTTTTGTCCTCAAATAGAAAGTTTGGTTTAAACTTTCTTCAGTGTTTTTTTATTTGTGGAGAAAAATGCAGTTGGAAGTAAAGTTCAACTTTATCAGATTTTTCCTCACAGTGGCTTGTACTAGTTGTTTGCTTACCTTTTTTCCTACCTTTTCTCTATTGAAACATTCCAAGAACGACAAATGCTCTCTGAAAACGCGGTTATATGACAGCCTAGCAAGGCATTATTTGTGTCTTTAAGTACTTATTTAAATTCAGTTTACAATGTGGGAAAAACATGTGAAGCCTCTTTAAATGTCGCAGATACTTGCTAAGAGTACTCTGACGTCTCTTCGATTATCAACATTGACAAACTTTTTCTCTTCTTGATCCTCTGTCTTTCAGGTACATTTTAAAAATTAAGACGTAACTGGAAATACTTTTGGATATGAACAGTTTCCAGGTCATGGGCAAGAGGATGGAGGGAAAAGAATACTGAAAAGTCAAAACTGATAGATTTCAGCTTCCACATGGATGTTTTTAATAAGATTATCAGACTTTTAATTTATTTTCTTATGGTCTTGCCAAAGCACAGCCCCACACCTCTGAGTAATTAGAAACACCTGAAGGGAGTAATTACTCCCTTTCCAAACATTTTTATAAAGCCTAGAAAGCTGCCAAACCTCACAATCTAACCCATTTACCCATGCAGGCCTTTCACGGAAAACCAAGCAATTTGAAATTCCCATTGAACCTAATCACTTATTTTAATAGAAACACGGTTAAGGTCAATTCTCCAGAGAATAGGCAGTGGCCCACTTTTATTAGCTTTTTTTTTTTGCTAAGTTATGGTTAAGACGGTAACAGTCACACATCTTACTGATTCAGATAAAGCAAAACTGAAAAACAGCCCATAGTCCATGACGTCACAGATTCTATCCATTATGCTTCTTTTATCCTGCAAAGGCACTCCTGGATAATATTTAACATCTAGTAAGCCTGAGAAAACACTAGTGTTTGCATTAACTAGAATTATTTCTGTCTTTCTATTAAAACTGAAGTCCAATGGTCACTGATGTTGGACACCCTGGATGAGTCTTGAGGGGGAAAAAGTGGGTAAATGTTTGACTTCCCTCAGTAACTATAAATCTGTTCCTTTTTTTTTTTTCTAAGGCAAGCAGCATGCAGTTATTTTGTGTGAGCTCCTGTGCTGTAAGTGGCTGCCCACAGCTTTACAGGAAGCAGCATTGTTTTTTTTCTTTCATTTTTATGATCTGCTTAACTGAAACAACATGTCGAGCTGCCAGGAGCTGCAGTTCAGGGTGTTGATTCTCCGTTGGGTTGTCAGTGACACATTTCTAGATGTTTTCGTTCACTGATGCAGTTTTCAGTTGGTCAGGAGGCAAGTCAACACTCTTTAGGCTTTCTGTGGGGTTCAGAAAACAAAATAACGAACAAGACTTTATGTTGCAAAAACAAGCACATGTAAAGAAAAAGAATCCCGGCTCTAGTGCGTTTCACCTTCTTACTAATGTGGGTGAACACAAATGAGTTTGTGGAGGGGAATAGGACTCTGACTCATCACCACACAGTTTGAATCCAGGACAGTCTGAAAACCAAAGTTTGAATACTTTTATAACATTTACATAATTCCTTTTCTAATAGCTAATATTTCTATACTTTTCTTTTAAACCTTACTAACCACAAGAGAAATTGATCTAAAGGTATTGTTTACTGATTTTCTAGGAAATCCTTGAAAATGATGCTTTTCAGAGAAAATGAAGGACTTGACTCTCGCCTGTTGTTGCTGAGTACGTTATAGATAAAATCTGTGGTCAGTAGAGAGACAGTCAATTCCTCTAGTACCCTTGGCTGTGTTTATTTTTGATTCGGGGAGGAAAGCAGCACATGCACAAAGTCCCAGTGGCACCAAATCCAACCGAGGAGGCAGGGTCATTCTTGTTCATCTAAGGGTGAGCTCTGCCCTCTCTGGCAGCAGCAAAGAGCCTTCTAATCTGACACATGAATGAAATCCTATCTGCCTCTCTCTGTTATCTGTCACATCAGCCCAACTCCACGGTCACACCTTTTCCCTTCCTCTCCACCAGGCAGCTTTAAGCGTGTTGTCTAAACAAGCGTGGCCTGGTTTGCTTGTTGCCCTGAATGCTTAGTTTTGTTTAAAATCAAAACAGTTCGGTCCATTTTTGGGACCATTGCATCGTTTTGGTCGGAGCATCTTTTTGACAGTTGGTGAAGTCAACTTAGTGAGTATATGTAGGTTTCGTCTTCCCAGCTTAGTCTTAACTGGTTCCAAGTGGCCCCAGCTGGGTTGTCTGTTTTCTGCTTACTTCTTAAGTTGAACACGCTGTGGTGCCCTCAAGATGATCAGATAGTGCAGTCAGCATGTCTGATCACCAGGTTGTGTTGACAAATAGTCAGATAGCCTCAGGATGTAATGGTGTTAGGAAGAGATGCACATCTTCTCCGTGGCTGTAAAACACAGAGGGTACGGCACATTTAAAATGCTGTAACAAGCTAAAAATTGCCATCCCCTCCCCTAATTGATTTGGGTAAACTGTAACCAGTTCTTTTAAGGGCTCATGTCGAGCAGGTATATCCTTAGTTATGCAAACTTGTCTCCCATGGGAATTTATTGCCTGAATAACTCACATCTTTCCTGTTTCCCTTTAAAAAAAAAAAAAAAAAAAAAAAAAAAAGTCAAAATAGTAGCTCAGAATAATCTGTTCCCCTACTTGTTTAAATTTAAAATGTGGAATTTTTGTAAGCTTTTTGTGTACTGGTTGGTTTGTTGCATACTGATATCTAAATAAACTATTTGCCAGTATTACTCCTGTAATATTGACAAAAACTTCCAAGATGATTAACATATACTTTGTTTCGTCGACAGATGTAAAATTATCAGAATCAATTCCAAGTTTTTAAGAGAAGATTCAACGGCTGGCGTGGTTTTAGTTTTAAATTCGAGCCTTGTCTCTTCCCATTTTCAGCTTGCAACTACGTTTCTTTTGTATCCACCTCTCCTCACTCATTATTAATCAGTTCCCCACACCATTCTTTGTTCAAACTATTTGAAATCTGATTTTGCTCGCGGACCTATTCATGTGTAAAACATGAAGTGTTTTCAAAAATAATTTCTCTTTTTATCTGTGCTTGGTGCTGTGAACCAGGCTGCCTTTTAGAAAAATGGCATCAGGGAAGAGGGTCTACTCATCCTCCGTCTGTGCTGTTTGTCAGAATGAAACTGTGATAATGGAGGAAACTGCAGAGAGTCTGTGACCAAAGGTAATGATTGAACGATGGCCTAGAGTCGCCTGCCGCAGCTCTGTTTGTTTTTGTTGCCCCCCCTTTTTTCCCCATATATGGACCAGAGACACTGGAGATATTTTGGAATATGTGTGGACAGTCTGGAGTTTTTCTACACAGTCGGCATTCTCACATCACTTCACAGCAAAGCATCATGACCTGCAGACACTCTGTCATAGCTGGAATTGTGAGGCGGGGTGGTGGTGCGAGGGAGCATCTGTCTAAAGTGCACAGGAGGCAGGACAGAATCTAAAAAATATGCAGCAGGAATCAGTGTTCTGTCTACAGCATGGCATATCCCCTCTTTCTCTAGTCTCATATCTGTATTTTAATACAAAGAAATTCTAGGCTGTGGAGACATTATTTATTCTCTTCTGTTATCAGACAATACAATGAATAGAAATGGTGACTAACATGATAGTGGTTGGTATTACACATTAACTACAGAGATTATGTTGGCACTAGAGCTGAAAAGTGAGTTTATTTTTATTTTTCATTTTAAGCCTGTGCTGAAGGAGGGAGTTGAAATAAGCTAGTAAGGGGGATTTAAAGTTTAAAATGGGAGCATCATTTAGATGCAATCCCATATTTGATGTGCTTCAGTGTAAAATCGTCTGTCTTGGAGTTTCTGTGCTCCCCTCAAGTGCACTTGTGATTCTACTTCTGATGATGATATAAGCTTTGTTTTGTTTATAGACAAGCTGAACAGAGTAGCATGCCGTTTACTGACATTTTCAATCGTTTGAAGTAAGAATCATTCTTGAATTCTGAGTGCTAATATACAGGTGTCATGTAAGTTCCTAAATGCAGACAATTTATTTCCCTTTCCTGCTTTTTGGCCCTACCATTTCTCTTTTTTAAGCAGTTAAATCAAAACGGAAAGGTTCTATAAATTAGCTCATTTAATAGAGCAGTAAACATGCATCTACCTAATTTTTTATTGGTCATTCAAAAGAGTTTATTTTCCAGTGGCCATTTAACAGATGACCTCAGGGTAGGTTGGTACTGCTTTAAAATCCCTCCGATCCACATTCATACATTAGTCTTTGCAGTCTTTGCAGCCTTGGATGTGTTAGATTACAACACATAGTTGTGAGTTGACACAGCTGGGTCATGTACTATCAGGAGTTTGGCTTTTTTGGAAAGGAGACCAGACATAAATATAAAAGGGAAGGAAGAGAATCCACATATAAATTTGAACTCAAACTAAGTTAAATAAAAACAGCAGCTATCATAAAGATAAACTTGAAGAGAAAAACCAAACAGGGTGTGAGGAGGGAAACATTGGCCGATATGTTGCAGTTAAAACAGGTGGAATTGCCCTCTTAAGGGGCAGAATTCTGCTTTGCTTTATCCTTTAAATGCGCGTTCTTTTTGGTTTGTCGTGATTTCATCATTTGTATCCCTTGAACGT